TTAATCACTTAGTTCTCATTTCATGCAACTCCATCAGAGCTAATTATGTGCAAGTATTAATATCTTGTACCCAGGTATTATATAACTGCTTATTTAGATCAAATCATGTTTTGCCACAATATACCATTTTCCATCATCAAAGACAACAGATATTTTGAACAGAATTTAAAAAATATAACAATGACAGTTGAGTTACATACAGTATTCTTTTGTCATGTACCATATTTTGATTTGTGACATTAGTTATTAGTTAGAAACCCATGCCTCTCTATCGTTTCAAAAAATTTACCCAACGTGGCAGTCTCTGTAATTTATGGCATCCATACTTTTTTGAAAGGTAACACTTTGAGGCTCAATTTTTTGCCGGATGCCCTTGCAAACTCTCATTGGTTGCTCTGTATTGTAGCATTCCGTTACCATGGTTACGCATCTATAGACATCTTACCTTGGAATCTTAAATCATTCTATAGCTTTTTATAAGCAGATAGTAGGTACTTAAAGAAGCAAAATGAAAAGTAGTTTTTATATAATTTTACATAATATAACCTCTTCGATATGCAATGAAAAATGATGACAAAATCCGTACAAGAGCTCAGTAGTAGTACTAGTAATCCTGAAATTAAAGTCTATTGATCAAAATAGTCACGACGAAAAAGTGCCCTTTAAAATATTTTTGAAAGAATTGATTTTTGTAGGACTTTAACTAACCCTTCCTACATCTACATATAGGTTTCCTACATCTATCTCTTATGTCTCAAAGTATGTATGGTATAGGACTTGTAATCTGAACTTGTTTTAAAAGGTTTCCAAAATATGAAATACCAAAAATCTATGGAAAATATGAGTCTGAAATGGATGGATTTCAGGTATATCCCCATAGACTATGGATACCATTCAAAACTGAGAACCGTAACAACAGAAGATTTAAGTGCAAAATAAAGGAGTTAATCACGTAGTATGATTGACAGAGGTTGAATCTAAACTATTTTAATTTACACTTTTTATAGTTTAGAAGCTTTAATATGGAATGATCTAATCTAATGAAGATCTAATCAATACAGTGTGTATCAAAAAAACGCAACAGATTGTTATCTCGGAAAAGCACAAAACCAGTGATAACATCATTGATTTCATTCAATGCACCATGAAGTCATGTGTCTCCTCTTTACAATGATATATCATTCATTGATATTTGGTCATGGTTGGGCGAGTAATCATTCCATTTGCAAAGTGGGCCAAAATTAGCTTGGGGCCAAGTTATAAACATCGCAAAAGTCAGTGTACGGAGCCCGATGCAATATTGGAAGAAAACATAAAACCTATGCTGACTGTATCCTTTTCATTCAATGTACCGAAAAGCCAAATTACTCCTCTGTGCCAATGGAATATCATTCATTCACAGGGAGTCAAGGCTGTAGAGGCTGACGGTAATTCCGGTTATACGGTTTCGGTACGGAATTGAGCATTTACCGGTATTGAAATTATTAACCGGTTAACCGACGATAATCCCCGGGGAAATAAAAGACACGTCGTTTTTTTAATTATTTCGTTTAATTTCCACTTTCACGATGCGTACATTTACATAGACATTTAGATGTCCATGTTTGGCAGTTCTGGTGTGATTTCCATGTTTGGCAGTTCAGGTGTGATGTCCATGTTTGGCAGTTCGGGTGTAGTAGCTTCATGCTCAGGCTCAGATTTGGTTGTAGTTATGTTTGGCAGTTCCGGTGTAGTTGAAGTGTCAACGTCAGATCCAGAAATTGAATTATGTTTGTAATAGTCATTTACGAACAACAAATGTTTTTACGAACAAAGGAGTGGTATCGATATGGAGAACTTTTTGAACACACGTTTCTCTTAAACCAGTCATAAGAAAAATCTAAAAATTTAACACATCGTCAATTTAATGGTCATCTTTTGAATGGTAACAAAATAATTTGAAATATATATATATACTTACATCTATATTATTTTAGAAAACACATCATACACTTGTTTTGTTCTTGGTATCATGTTTCCAGAGTGAAATGAAACATATTTCCGAACCTCATTGGAACAAAACGACATAAACATAACATGTTTAGGTCTCTCAATATTGTAATTGTACAAAGGAAATGTTGGTTGATTTCAAAAAAGTATCTTGTTAATGAATAAAATAAAAGGTTTATCTTGATTTTTATCTATTTTGGGGGGATTTTGTTTTAATTTTTTGAATACTTTAAAAATTCCGTTGTATAACTACAATATTGAGAGGTCTAAAAACATGTCGTATATGCTATTTTGTTCCAACAAGGTTCGGAAAGACATTTTATTTCATTCTCAAGAATTGGTAGAAAGGAGCAAAAAACTGCACTAAAAAACAAAAAATGTTAACAAAAACAGTTATATAAAATATTTCTAAATAATTTTCGCATTAAATTGTAGTCAATCAGTCAACATTAGATAAAATGCCGTGTTTTTACAGAATGTTTTCAATGATTGGTTTAAGAGAAAAACATTGTTGAATTTAGTTCTCCATATCGATACCACTCCTTTACAAACAACAAGGCATTGGCAACCTCAGGTTGAAGTCGTGCCCGTTTGGAAGTGGTGGTGTTGCCAGCTGCACTGAATCTATTTTACCTACCCCACCCCCATGTATACTGCACGTCGCTTGCTATTGATGCAGTTGAGAAATGGTTTGAAATGTGTAATACATTTGATTTAAAACTAAATATACATCTTGATTCGTAAGATAGTTACATACTATTTCGTGAAGTTCATCAGTATGGGTTCGAATCGGTCTCGCACCATGTATGCATATATACTTGAGACCCTACGGAGAGAGTTAGGAACAAAGTGGGGGTGGCAGCGCATTGGCATTTTATCTTACATATCTTTACCGGTATTTCGGTAACGGTACGGTTATTAGCGTGACGGTTACCGGTACTGGTTTCCAGTACCGTTGCGACCTCTACAAGGCTGGCCGAATAATCATTAATTTTGCAAAGTAGGGCAAAATTCTGTTCGGACTCAAGTTTCAATCATTGCAAAAGTCACTACAAGGGGCATAGGGGCGATTGGAAGAAGGTGTGACAGGTGTGGCATAGACAATTAAGTGTTCATACTCATACTCTTGCAAGAATACATCCTATACCTCTCCAAATTGCCACCACTTCCTTAACTTGCACATAAAGATGCGCTCATTTGTCCACGTCATGCATGGTTCAGCCTGGAGTCATCTGTGGGTTAAAGCAGAGAAAAGCAGCCCATGGGCAATTCTTTCTCGAGGTTTCGCAATATCTGGTGAAGGAATTGTGAGCACAGATGCTCCTGAGATAGCTCCAAAAGAAAAAGTCACAGCATTTCAAGTCAGGGGAACTTCCATAGGTACTGAGCCCTTGCACTGATTTTTGCAATATCTAAAACTTGGTCCAGAGCCAATTTTGACCCACTGTGCAAATGGAAGAATTTCTCACCCAACCTTTACCACATGTGAATGATGAGGAGGGATGTGGCTTTATGGTATATTGAATGAAATTGATGTAATCATCACTAGTTTTGAGATTTTACGAGATTACTACCTGTTGCGTTTTTTTGAAACGCCCTGTGTAACAGATTTTATCAAAAAGTCTCAGATGTAGATGTAGGCCTGGACGCTGGAGCAAAAGTCATCACAATAAGATGCTGAATCAATGTCACACCTATAGGTAATGTTAACAAGGAGATTAATGTCACACAGATGATATTTGGGAGTCAAGTCACACTGGTGAGGTGAACATGAAGATGTGACAAAGATGATGGAAACATTAAGAATAAAAAGCATCCCTGTCATGAAAGTCACCACTGAAATAGATTAACAAAAGAAAAATTCAACCTATGCCATGTGGGTCCTTGACATGGGTAATGGGTAATATCGATTTTACATATACGTACATTTAGAATGCCATAGAGGTGATGTTAACGCGGATATCAATGTCACATGGATGACATGGTGATAAAACGTTAATTTGTTCAAAGTTACACTATTAAGGTGTTGTTAGTCACATGGAAATAAATGTCACATGGATGTAGGAACTCTTGGGTTTAAGTCCTCGCTTCATCAACACTTAATATAAAAATGCAATGCTATTTATGAACTATAATAGCTTTGGTATGATAAACAATACAAGGTGTCTCAAAAATGTACCCAAAAGTATATTAACACCACGGTTTAACCAATCAATATTTTCAGATATTTTTGCATGGTCATGTTGCTAAAGCATGTAAGTTTCCTCCCCAATACAAAGTTTTCAGTTCAGTCTTGCATTTTGATGATTTAACCCTTTACTTTTTACTTCATATTTCGATGACAGCCTGTATCCGTGTGCTACATTGTTCATCATATTTGATAATGTTTCAGGTGGAACGTTTTGAATTTCTTTTTGGGTGTTGGCTTTATGTTGTACTAGGTCTTTCGGCTTGGGATTAGCTTAAAATGCTCCTTCAAATAGCCCCAGAGAAAGAAGTTCCAAGCTTGAA